ATAAAATTAGAAAAATTTAAAAAATAAAATAATATTAATACAATAAAATAAAATATAATATAATATAAAAATATAATATAACTTATAAAATAACTTTTATATTTATTTATTCACCATTTATTTTGTATAAAAGCGCTTTTCAAATAATCGAAGTAATACAAAATACCCGAAACGAAATAAGACACATGTCCGATCCGTTTAAGTAGTCACGCGGATTAGGTTAGGTGACAGGCTCACTTGTCCTAAATTCGTTTGTATCACTGAACATTGGAGCACATGCAATTGCTCCAACCGCCACCGTGACTAAGTGCTCCCGGAGTGCGTGCGCGTGTGCGTGCACGCAAGCAAGTGGACGTGCGGGCGGGCGGGCGTGCACATGTTATTAAATTACAACTTCACATTTAATTACAATTTTCATATAGTATTTCAACATTAACATAATCAATCATTATTTTCAATTTACTTATTACTGTTTGTTGTTATTATTATTAGTGTGAATATTATTTTTATATAACGAGTTCGTTAACATTATATTATTATATAATTCTGATTTAAAAATATACCCACTATAAACATAATTTTCATAACACGACCGAATTATGTCTTTTTTTTGTTTTAGTAAAATCATTGTATAGCTTTATGAAAATTCAAATTTAGCGCCTTTCCAACCTACATGGCGGCGAGTCATGTGTCCTAGGATCCACTACATCAAAGGTGCCGACGCTCAGTATCCATATTGTATGTACTTATACTATAGTCGCGACATGAGATGATTGGAACTGACTTTTGTATGCAGAGTAATAATTTTAGCAAAATTGATAACAGAGAGGGGGAGAGAGAGAGAGAGAAAGAGAGAGAGAGAAAGGGTAGGGGAGGGAGAGAGAGAGAGAGAGAGAGAGAGAGAGAGAGAGATTAGTATCTCTGTCTAATCTTAATGCGTTAAACATGGCACGGTAGTCATAGTCCATTTTTATTTTAAAACTATCTTAAATATAGTGACTACATTTACACGAGACACTTAATCGGGTTTAATAACATTCATATTTATGCAATTGGCCAATCATAACTGTTTCTCCGAAGAATGGAACAAGTTATTTTGACACGTTGTTCTTAACCCTTTTCATTTATTATATTTGAATAAAATTCATTTTTGGTAATACAATCGGCTACAACTGGCGGGATTATGAACAGCCAAGATATTCAACCTGCGAAGGTGACTGCAGCACAGTTTGTCATTTGTTTCGCAATCACAGTATAAGGATATACCATACAGTAGGGAGGACAAGCAATGTCACCACTTTTAATTTTTTTTCAGACGAATTTCTGCCATGTCTTTGGTGACCAAATACCGTATCAATAGCATTAGGAACCACCGCCTACATTCAACAAAAAAAGGATAAAAAATCTTAACTTTTCAGAATCTTCCACAAAATCGGTGATCAGTTAAATACATCCACGCACAGTCTCGTTGCTTCATAAAATTAATTGCTGTAATCAGTTATTCAGGAGACATGACAGTGTCTCGTCGCTAAGCAAGCGATGTCATGGCGTGATTGCAGTAACTGAGAAACTGAGGTTCTCTGCTTTGATTGGAATTGGTGCCAAAAACATGGCCACTAATGATGAGCAAGTAAATATGCGTAGCTAAATAGAAACCGGGGTCCCTACTGTATATTTTTATATTGTGACGCAGTACTGCGAGCAGAGCAGGACTTCCGAGATAGCGGCGCAGATGGCATACATCCCTGCGTAAACGAATGACAAACTGCACTGCAGTCGCAGGTAGAATGAATGAACGATATCTGCGACAGTAACTGCATAAACGAACGCACCCACCATATTGTTTTTCCACTATGCTTTTCCCTCTCCCTCCATTCTTCTTCTATCTGTTCTCTTCATATTTTTATCTTTTTTATCTTATTTTATTCTATTCTTTTTTAGGTTTTGTTTTTAATTATATATTAACTGAAATTTGGCTCTGTCCCAGTGAAGGCTACAATGCCTCTTTTTACGGTGGCTCTGTCAAGAATAATACTTCGGGAGCAGCAAACATGGAAGGTATACTTGAGCCTTGTACCGATAGTTGGCGGCGTAGCTGTAGCGACACTAACAGAGCTTAGTTTCAACATGATTGGCTTGATAAGCGCCTTAGCGTCCACTATGGCATTTTCTTTGCAAAATATTTATTCAAAAAAGGTATAATGCAATGAAAAAAATTATTTTTCATTTACCATAACTACATTTATTTCTGTTTTTAATGTTGTAATTTTCGATCTACAGGTGTTACATGACACAGGCGTACATCACTTGCGGCTGCTGCACATACTTGGTCGTCTAGCTCTATTTATGTTCTCACCAATTTGGATTGTGTATGATTTACACAATTTGATGTACGAACCGATGTTAAAACCGTCCGTAGAGATAAGCTATTATGTATTAGGACTATTATTTCTAGATGGTATACTTAATTGGTTTCAAAATATTATTGCATTTTCCGTGCTATCTATTGTGACGCCTCTGACATATGCGGTAGCGAGTGCTAGCAAACGTATATTTGTGATAGGAGTGACATTATTCGTACTTGGCAATCCAGTTACATGGCTTAACATATTTGGTATGACTATGGCCATATTAGGAGTATTATGTTATAATAAGGCTAAATACGATCAAAGAATAGAGAAACAAAAGAAAACAATCCTTCCGAATTATTATGAAATAATTCAAAATGGTAATAGTAGTTCCTTCTTGGTTAATGGATTTGCCAGCAAACATCAATCATTTGCAGTCTAGTCTCAATTGATAATTTTATTTTAACAAGTTTATATGAGTTTCTACATCAGGAAAAAGTCTAATCCTTTTTTCTGTAAGTGTAAATTAATTTTCATCAAGTTATTACGCAATATTATAAATTGTTACAATTATGGTAGAAGAAATTTTTATTTTCTTCCATCATGATTACAATGGTCAAATATAATAGATTAAATTCAAAAAAGAAACTCATGATAAATTACTTCTAATATTATACACGCGCGTGCGTGCGTGCGTGCGTATTATATATGTATATATAGGGTGAATCAGAGTCGTCGAATCAGCTTTTTACCGTATGAGAAAATTATTGATTGCACGCACGACGTTATAATCCAATAGGTATAAAGTCGATAATTTTCTCATAAGGTAAAAAGTTAGTTCAACGACTCTGATTCACTCTGTACACACACACACACACACACACACGATACGCGCAGACGCACACGCACAGGGTGTCCCGTATCTTTTTACACACACACACACAGAGAGAGAGAGAGAGAGAGAGAGAGAGAGAGAGAGAGAGAGAGAGAGAGAGAAAGAAAGAGAGGATATATCGTTTTAATTGACGCACTAAATTATCTCTTGAACAGTGCATTTTAAAGAAAAATGTTTCAGACAAAAGTTGTATAGTTTGAAGTGGGACATAAGATGGTGCTATTGGTTTGACCTCGGAAAGTTTAAAGGTCATGTAAAAGTCATCACTTTCTTAAATGGAATTCGATATATTTCACTGCATATTCTTGTAGTTTTCCTCCAGAATTTTTCAAAACATTACAATGAAATTATTTTTCATTAAGTACTTTTCGAGTTATAAGGCTTCAAAGGTACCGGCATTAACATTATCCAATGTGTCCAACCGTCGGTTAAAATTTCTTGAATGTTATTCAGGATCATGATTTGGATAACATTTGTCAAGATCAAAGCCACTGGAAGTTATACCTTTTATTTGAATTTTTATAGTAAGAATTTTATGTAAAAATGTAATTTTTAGCAAAAATGAGGAACAACCTTCAATGATCTTGATCTTGATAAATGTTATTCACGTCATGATTCTAAACAACATTTAAGAGGTTTTAGCTATCATTCGGATACCGGATAATGCCACCGACGAAATACTAAAGACCGTCAATTCTGGGCAAATTTTAGACGATTTAAAAAGGGCCTTAAGAGTCCGGAGGTAATTGAAGAACACTGACATTATCAACAATTGATATAATTTGATATTATTGAGTCATCTAAAAAGTAGTCCGCGGTTTTTTGTCACTAGATGTGTGTTGATGGTCATATATCTAGTGACAAAATACCGCGGATACTTTTTAAATGACCCAATATTTTGATATTATTAATAGCGATTTCTGGGATGCACGTAAAGCTATTATACACAATTACCGAAAAAATGTATTAACATCAGATTAAATCGTACAATCCAATGTATTTTATTGTACTGTTAATAAAACATGTTTTAATAATTTTCATTTCGTTTTTGCCCTCATAGTGATTTCGGCTGGGACGTACTGACTGCACATTTCGGGTATCGATGCAACTGGTGTGTTCGCTGATTGAATGGTGCAATTCCTCGTTAGTGTCACATGTTCGTCTGGACTCGGCTACCGCATAAGTGTACACAAAGTGGCCCCGACAAATTTGTTGGAGCCAGTTGGTGTAATTGTCGGGCTTGGTGCTTTCATCAGACGTTGAAAAGTAGCGTGTGTGATCACGTAGTATTAATTTTGTCGCTAGTGTCTGATTTCGGATGCGATCCACTTGATGCTACAAATGTTTTGAAACTTTTACTTGACCAATCGAAAAAAAAGAATTTTACTCGACCAATTAAAAAACGTTTTCAAGTTGACCGTAGCCGGGCATAGGCCCTGCGCACAATGGAGAAAATATTGGGTCATCTAAAAAATATCCGCGGTTTTTTGTCACTAGATGTGTTGACCATCAACATCTAGTGACAAAAAACCGCGGATACTTTTTAGATGACCCAATATTAAGAATAGGAATAAATATTAAGATTTCAACCTATCAGAAACCATGTATTCCGGTATAACTAGTATCTGATAGGTTGAAATTTTAATATTTATTCTTGTTCCTAATATTTGATATATTGTGCGCAAGTTCATAGTCGTCTGACACTGAAAATTGATATATCCAACTTGTAGCGTCAATTTATGATTTCTGATTACTACTGACTTATTGTAGAATCAACTTTACAGCGAGTTTTAGATTAGGAACATAAATCTCTAATATCGAATGCGTATTAAATGTTAAATTGTAATTCTATTAATTTAATATTTATGTTTTTCTACGTATTTATATATTTACTCGTACTACTCGAAAACGAAGCCATCGCAATAAAATTTGTATAAATTATTACAAAACATGTTATTTTTCTTCTTCGTTAATAGTTGGCTCTGGTTCCCGTGATCGGAGTAAACGTGACTAATTGTATCCCAAAAAGGAAGTGAAAGTCGGCCATCTCAAACCGGATAGATTTCTTGAAAATCGTGAATGATGCAAATAGTCCAAAATGGTGAATGGAGGTTTTGGAACTTCTTAATTCCCTTAATACTAGGATCATCTGACCTAGCACACCCGTTTAAATAATATAAGATTTTGATTACTATCCCCTTCTCTTCTTATTTTAAGAAATTTTATATGTTCAGGTACTGGGGCGGAATGGACTCTTTATCCCCCTTACATCTAATATTTTCCACAGCGGCCCCTCAATTGACTTAACTATTTTTCAGTCAGATCAATGCATCATTTTAACAAAACTATCCTTCAAACACTGCGTCTACGATCATGATACCACGCGACCAGTATTATAGATCGGTAATGAGGTTCGCGGTTTCGTGAATCTCGTGTTCGCCTGACGAAACATATACTGCCGCGGTGGTAGGAATTAACAGTGTACAATGGTCTTGATATGCACCAGTGCACGTTGGTGTTCCCAGCCGAAATCGCTATAACATAAATATTTGGTTCATATATTATTAAATTCATGATTTTTTATTACATAAATATTCCATAAATAAATATGCATACTTGTAAAGCTATAATATCCTATGTATTGCAGAAAAATTACAATTTTTTCTCTGCAGTTATTATCGCTGTTGATAATCAAACTTTGACGATAACACTGAAATTACAATTTTAAAGAAAAATCGAGAATTATTGAGTATTAAATGCATAAATACGTCTATTAATAAAATTAGTACAATATTATCAATTTTTAACTCTTCAATTTTCACAAAGACGTGAATTGCCATAAGGATGTTGGTCTTTAATAATATCTCATCGGTGGTAATGCTAATGCCGATGATCGGACACAACATTCAAGAGGTTTTACCATCAGTCGGACACCTTAAGCACTATCGGGTAGTGCTTAATGCCGGCGGTGCTGTAACTTGCAAGCCTTACAACTCAAAAAGTATTTAATGAAAATGAACTTTATTATAGTGTTTTGGAAAGCTCTCAAGGTAAGGTACAAGAATATGCAATGAAATATATGGAATATATTCTATTAAAAAAATTGATGATAACCTCTTTACGTGATCTGTAAACAACTTTCCAAGGTCAAACCAGTAGCACCATTTTATGTCTCCCTCCAAACCATATAACTTTTGTCTGAAATTTTTTCTTTAAAATGCATTATTTAAGAGATGTTTTAATGCGTCAATTAAAATGATACATCCTGTATATAGGATGATGTCCCGTAAGTTTTTGCCAAGCGCTTTTGTGTATGTAGAGCGGACTAAATTGAGTTCAAAAATCCTTTACCATTTTGCAATAAATGATTAACGAGATATTAATTACTAAAAATCGCTGAATATTAGTTTTCAATAATATTTTTACTCAAATATTGTCAACTTTACAGAAAAACAACGAGAGACAAAAATTATTTATTTTCTTCTTATAAAGTTCTGAGAAAATAAATAATTTTTGTCAGAATTTTTTAATATCATATTTTCTCATGTTAATAAAAATAAGAAAATGCAGTACTAAGAAGTTGATAAAAAATTCCAAAAAAGTTTTTAATTCTATAAGAAGAAAATAAATGATTTTTATTTCTTGCAGTTTTTTCTATAATATTGATATTGAGTATTTGAATAAAAAATTATTGAAGACCAATATTCGGCAATTTTTAGTAATAAATATCTTGTTAACTATTGCGAAAATTATAAAACAGTAAAGGATTTTTTACTCAGTTTAATCCGCTCTAACTATACAAAAGCACTTGACAAAAATTTATGAGACACTCTGTATACAGGGTATCTCAGAAATAAAGTAGGAACCCCATTGGGGGTGTAGAATGGATCAAAGGGAACACAAAAAAAATCTGATATCATTTTGAGATATTCGTTGTAGTTTTCGAATTAAAAATGTGGGAAACGTAAGCCAATGTGTAAGCCAATGTGCGATGAAGCCGCATCGCGCGAATTCGTAGTACGACCCATTGTGCCTCACTCTCGGCGCCACCGCCGCCGCTATCGAGTAAGACGTGCTACGAATTCGCGCGACACAGCTTTTTACTACACATCCATATGTTTCCTTTTTTAATTCGAAAACTACAGCGAATATTTCAAAATGGTATCAGACTTTTTTGTTTCCCTTGACCCCAATGCGACTGCTATCTTATTTCTAAGACTCTGTATATGCATACATATAGGTATATATGCATGCACTTATTCACACGTGCATGCAAATGGAAAGAAGATAAGAATTATTTTGTCTTAAAAAGTATTTGAATATCTAAATATGATATTAAAATAAAACGATTTAAAAAAAGTTTTGAATAAAATGTCTTGAATAAAATTTTATGTATAATGAGTCCAATGAATATTTCATGGCACACATTTTTATGACTTTTTTAAATATAACAAATTTTTCTTAAAATAAAATTATAATATTAGGTGTACAAATAAGTTTCCGCCGTTTGACAAAAGACGACGCCACTAGCAAGCTATGGTTAAAATTGTCTGATGTAAAACATTATATCGTAAGGTTGAACATCTGTCAACATAACCTTGAAATACTAGGGATTTTGTATCAGCATTATATATTTTTTTGTGCGAAAATGCCGAGTTTTGAATCGAATAAACGTCATTTGCGGGAA